AGGGAGCCCGATGCGGGACTCGATCCCGGGACTCCAGGATCATGACCTGAGCTGAAGGCAGTCGCTTAACCAACTGAGCCACCCAGGCGCCCCTGAGGGGGAGGAGTCTTAAGCAGACTCCACACTGAGCGCGGAGCCTGACGCAGGACTCCATCCCACGACCCTGAGATCACGACCTGAGCTGAAACCAAGAATCAGCTGCTTAACTGACTGTGCTATCCAGGCACCCCACCATGATCTTGACATTTTTAAAGAACAAAGGCCACTCATTTTTGTAGGATGTTCCTCAGTTTGGGTTTCTTTGATGTTTTTCCACAATTAAATTCAGGTTATATATTCTTAATAGGACTATCACAGAAATGATTTTGTATCCCTCTCTTGTATCAGGAATTAAATGATACTACCTTGTTTCTCATCAAATTTCCTCCCAATAGTTTATTATTATTATTACTATCATGGTGATTTTCAAACTTCTTCATTCCAGTGACACTTGGAAGTTAAAATTCTACTGTAACAAAAAGTGTTCTCTTTTATCAATTAATCTACCAAGCATCCATTCATCCATCTATCCATCCATTCATTTATATTAGTATGGACTCATGGGTTACTTATATACTCTATGGGTTATTCATTACTCTATTTATTTTGACACTTCAAATTTTCCCACATCTGGTTAGTAGAGCCACCCTTCAAGCTGGCTCTTCAGGCCTTCTGACATGGGTCCAACATTCTTTAATCTTTATCAACAGTCTTACTTTCTGGCATAGCAGAATGTTCCAAGCTTATCTTTATACTTTCCTAGCCCTAGACCTGGAAACACCATTTTACTAAGAAGCCCTGGTTCCTTTTAATGGAAAATGGTATTTAAAAATCAGGATCTACATGCTAGGCATGCTCACTGCTACTGAGCATCATTGCTTCTAGACCCTCTCAGCAAACAGAAGAAATACACCTGTAATATATGTATATACATATACATGCATAGATCTATATCTATTTCTGACTCTCTCTCTCTATAAAAACAGTGAGTTCATACTGAAACTTTTTCCATGCTTTTAAGATGGCCCTATCCCTGTTTTCAAATCCACTCACTTCCTTCCTCACAACGGTCTCTGCTCTGGACCAACTCTTTTCTTATTCCCAGTTACATATTATAGTTCTGACCTACTGCCAAATCTCTAGGAAGTGGTTCTCAAACTGCTGCACTTTATTTTTTTTTATTTTTTACTTTTTCAAATTGCTGCACTTTAGAATCAACTATAGATTTTTATTTAACGAAGGATAATTCACAGGAGATTGTTTTCTGGAGCCAGACTGAGAACAACTACTCTCAGTTTCCTCTCCTGTCTGTCTCGTTTATTCTGGGCCACACAGAGGGAGGAGAGAAAGCACAGATGTCAACAATTGTATCTATGGGGTTAAACATATTAAACACACATGCTGATTCAAGACTTCCCAATCAGTGCTTTCAGACATGCTGGTGCCTTAAGACGGTCTCATTTAAGAACGTCCTTAAGTACTTAACCACTTACAAATTAAATATTAGTGAATTAAAATTAAATTCTAGACTGCCAAGCAAATATTTCAGAAGTCCTTTATTTTAGCACCTTTGTATCTAGCTATATACGTGTTTTCAATTTTGTGGAAACAGAAAAGGAAGTAGAGAACCTTTGTTAGCTGTATTCATTTTTGTATATCCCAATGCTTGCCCACCTCTGGAATACCTAGGGGTATTTACTGTTGACTGCTTTCCCAACTTTCTCATTTTGAAACAAACATTTCAAAGCAGTATTAGTGTGCATGAAGGGATCTTTGGTCCCACAACTGAAAACAAAGAGGAATAAAAGACTACTAGAAAAGAAAATGTACCACTCTGCAGAGGAAGGTGAAAGTAACAGATAAGAGAAAGGGTAGAAATCGGTGTGTCAGGAAAAAGTGGTACTAGTTATTGTACAACGGTGAAGCACGTAAACATAGGAATCCATTCTAGCAATTCTCAATATACAATTGGGTGGAAAACAGTGATTTAACCTATTTAAGAATTAAACCAATTTAAATATTTAGAATATTCTTTTACATGTCAATAAATACTGCTAATTTTAAGTACTTCTTACCCTCTCACTAAAAGAAGTCCAATGGTATTCTTCCTTCAAAAGACATTGCTAAAAGTCTATGTTTTGCAATATATCTGAATCAATAGCCTATATTTATAAACTTACCTCATTTTAGTCTTTTCTAAGCAAGACGTTTAATCTTCATAAAGTATCTTAGATTTCCTTAGCCAAATTGAAAACTTAGCCTGGGTTAGGGAATGTCATCTACACTTGGGAAATCCAAGAAAGACTTACAGAAAATGGTTGTTAACCAGCAGGAGAATTTCTCCTAAAATATACCACTCCTGGCAGCTGTTATGCGTCACAGCTGTTATACTAACAACTGACAAGAACAAGCTTTTAATGTTAGGAGAAACAGGAATCCACAGAAAATGCTTTGCCTCCAAATCGTAATTCCTCATGGCTTTTACATTTATATGTTCTAATTTTTTACATGTTAGAGAATGTGTTACTATGTATGGTGTTTACTGTTAAATATGAGAAACGGAAGACAGTGAATACCCCCTCCGAAGTAATACCTTCCTCTATACCCTATCATTCCACATGAGACCCTTTTTCTCTTAACTTAAAATTCCAGCTCACACTGCTTCAGAAAGGCAGATGGGGATAAGTTCATCAATTTGAAATTTGACACAATGGACAACTCAGAAAAGAAGAAAAACATTCCACTGTTACTTTTGACTACTGGCAGAACAGGCTTGAAAATGAACTTTTCCCTACTTCCCATGACCCCATAGTAGCTAGAGGCAGTAAAGGCCATTTTTATTTGCAAGAATTAGAATGTGGTTTCAAAGGAGCTATAAGCTCTTAAGCTTCCTAAACAAGAGGATATGTATACAATGTATATATAATTTACTGAAGAACTCAAATTTCTGAGATACATAAAGATACATAATTCCTTTTACTACTTCAATTGCAAGTCTGAAACAGTATAAGCAGTAGACTTATAAAGGGCATGAGTATTAGATATTATACCAATAGAAGCTGACCGATGGAAGCTACTGAAGAGCAGGATTTCTAACATTAGGTTTAACAATGTTATTAGCTCCCCTGTATGTTCAAGGTATTCAAAATTACTGAACTTATTAGCAGAAAAAAAAATCGGTCTTAAGTACTATTAAGGAACACTCAATTAAATCTAATTTGCACATTACCTTTCGAGTTTGCATTTTCTCTGTTCTCCTCCGAAAGGCAACATAAGGGTCATTGTTGGTAGAGCCGTCTCTTTTCTCTTGTTTTATCTGAGGAATGAGGGACGGCCCCCTGCAGTTTTTACGTTTTCTTACCCAGTAGTCATACACAGCTTTAATAAGGTAATCATCTTCGTTTAGCAGCAGTTTTGCTTCCTGAAGTGTTACAAGCTAAATGAAAAATACAAATTGTCATCAACTATAAGGTTTGAAAAAAAGAAATCAAAGTTAAGCTGTATATACCTATAGAAAAAATGTCTAAATTAGTCTAACAATTATGATCAGACATCATGATGGCAGAAAACGCAATTCAATTTTGAAATTTTACAAAGAATTTACTGATAAGGAGATTTATCTAAAAATTTATATTTTGCTCTGAGAGGTAGAGTAAGTACCACAATTTAAAATATTTAAGAAGCCTAAATGAACAACAGTTGGAAAGACTGCAAGAGATTTATGCCTTAGTTAAGTCTTGGACTAGAAGATATCTAGGGTCCATCAAAATTCTGACATTCTGTGATTCTACACATTTGAAGATCTAGTAGTTTTCAACAGTCTAATAGATTCTGTGATTTGGTTTTTCAACAAAAACTAGAAGATACAGAAGTTTTTTTCCTATAGCCCTGTAAAATGAAAGATGAATATTCTCTACTATATTGCAAATAATATAACAAGTTTCTTTTAAGATTGTAAAAGAACAAACTTAGCATGTTTCCCGAAGTTTCAACACTATGCAATTTTGAATTTCTTGTACTAATTACATATAAAGGCAATTCCTCTGTCCAAACTGGTTAAGTACTAGAGAATCCTTGTTCTCAACACTCATTTTGCTAATGACATAGTTATGTCTGGAACAGTGATCCTAGGATGGTTCCTCTAGGAACTCTCACACTGATATTTCAGGGATCTACTTCTCCTTTATCAATGCAGTCAATATAATGTTGACATATCTCAAACTAAGGTTTGTAAAAATTTGTTTGGTCACATCTGTTTCCTTACTGCTTGTGAAGATCAAATAGACTGATCAGCTTTAGCAGGATGGATTATGGGTTAACCATATCCATTTACAGTGAACTCTAGAAAAAGATAATGGAGTTTTAAGGCTGGAAAACCTCAATGAAGTGCATCTCAATCTTTTTACTTTTATCATTTTGGAGATGAAGATTCATTTTCAAAACAAGTTGAGATATCTCCTAAGAAATGTTTTCCTAAAACCTGGAAATGGGGAAAATTTTCTCTCTGAAACTGCAAGATCAATATAGGAATTGATCTGAGGGTTGTATGAAGTCAACTGAAGATAGCATGACTAACCAAATAAATTTCTGAGATCTGATTTTTCATACTGGTATAACTTCACGGAATAAATGCAATGATCATTGGACTTTCAGTTCTATGATGGTGATTACCAGGGCTAATTAGTTGGTTTCTTATATTATCTGGCTGCCAAGACTGGCTGCAGGAAAAGAATACACTGACAATGACAACTCAAGTATTCTAGTCCATGTAATGATTACATTTAATGCAATAAAATTGTATGTGACCATAGTTTGGCTTATTCAATGTCTCAGTGAAGTCATCTTAAATGCATCTGAAAGGCTGAGTAACTTGGTCTCTAAAGTGGAGAGCCAGAGCCTGGAACAAGAGACCTAACCAAAAAAAACAGTATTTCCAAACATCAACTTTAGATGGGCATCTTTGTTAGCTGAAGGTCTCTGGAATAGTCCAGAGTCTACAATGCCAGTGGCAGAATAAGAACCAAGCTTTCTGGATCTAATAAAATTCGACCTCATGCTTACAGCATCATAACATCACTGGCAGCTTTCATGTGCTCCGGGGACCAAGGGAAACAATGCTGTGATATGCTACACATCTTCAGCTCTTTGGTCATTCTGCTTCTGATAAAATTTTGGAACCTTCACTAATTATATCAAGAACATATTCTAACTTTAGAGTGGGGAGGAGGATAGGTTTCTTCCTATGAAGGCACAGAGCAGTAGTGAGTTTCTTATATAATACTATCAGGATAACACCGCTTCCTATCCTCCTGCAGGAGATGTAAGGGGATTAACACAGCCTCAGATTTCCTTCTCTGGCGCTTCTTGCTCCTTTTACAAAGGTCCTTCTGCCTGGTTGATAAGTACCCTCTTTATATGTCAGGTAATAAGAATTCAATACACCGTTTACAATTAAACATCCTGACATTTCTTTCCAATGTTAACTATATTTCTTAGTTGACTGATGTTTTTATGTTGCTATAAATTTTTATTTTATTGGGTAATATGAGTTTTAATCATTCTGTTAAAATTATCCTTAGCAGTATCACCTGCATCATTATCACAATGACAGCATCAATTTGAGTGGGAAAGAACTATTTGCAGATAAAGTAGTCCCAAATTATTAGGACACAGGATTAAAATTCCACAAAATCAGAATCCTACTACTTTTCTACCGTAAGAAAAAAGTTCTGCCATTTAGCACTTTCTCTACTAGAAAGCAGTGGAAGCCAGTATTTACTTGACGAAAAGGTCAGTGATAAAATTTATTATTTCTAGGATACCTCTGAGTTGTTTGATTTACTTACTTTGGGGGCTTGGAGATGAGATAAAAATGACTCCACTAGCTGGGCTTTTCTTCTAGATTGCCACTAGCTTCACGAGGACAAGGATCACTTAGTTTGTTTACATACAGATTCATGGGTCAGCAATTTCAAGAAATACATTTATAATACACAAATGAATAAATTATATATAAAAAGTAATGTTTTAAAAATATAGTCAGTTAAGCAATAAATAGTTAATAACTACTATCAGCCTATCACTGTGTTGTATAGGTTGTGGGTAAATTGGGAAAAAAAATTTCAAGATAAAACTACTACCAACAGAAACTTAAAATATGGTAATCAAGGCATGACAAATACAACTTAAACAATAAGAGAACAATATCAGAACTTTAGAACTCAGTATTAGTGCATTAAGATATAGGACAGAACCACAAAATACTCCATCTGGGAGTGCTTGTGTTGGTAGCTTAAGATACAAGTATAAATTCTGAGGACAGATACTGAAGGAAATAGCAACATGATGTAGAGGAAGAGGAAATGAATTAAGAAGAAAAGATTTGAGAAATGTGGAGGTCAACAGCATCCAATACCATGGAGATATTTAGTAGGATACAGGCTGAAATGGATGGATGACCATGAGAAGGCCATTGGTGACGTGGGTGCAATCAGTTTACCGAAATGCATTGGAGTAGGAGTAAAAGTTAAAAAATATGTCTAATCTTTTTAAAATGTGACTGACCAAAAAAAAAAAGAGAGAGAGACAAAGGGTGGCAATTTATAGAGAAAGATGGGGTGAAATGAAAGGGTTCTCTTGGAAATAGGGACCCTTGGCACATTTTTGGGCAAAAAGAGAGAGACTGAAGAAATGAGAGAAGAGATAATTAAAGATGAAACATGCAAGGAATATACAGGTGCATTGAGGAAGAAATCAGAAATTTAGGGACTGATGGAAAAGGGATAAAAAACACATCATTTTGGGAGTCACTGGAGAGATAAGGAATATGATAAAGGATCATGTGTAGTTAAGAGAGTATGTCAGAAAAGTTACACTTGAGAGGTCTGTGGACCATCTAGGTGGAGATGCCAACAGGTAGCACGAAAAGAGAAAAAAGAGTCCTGGAGCTTGAGAAGGAGGTCAAGGGTAAGGATATATGTATTATTATGCTCACAAAAGTCCTTGCTAAGGTGATATTAACCCCAAACATATAGGATAAGAATACCAAGGACAGAATTTCAAGAAACTCTGATGTTTGTAGAAATTAATGAAAAGGACTCAGTAAAAGACAATTAGAAGGAATGATCACAGAAAATAACTTAAAAAATCAGAAAAGAATAAAGTATATTCCAAAGACCAAAGGTGATGAGTTTGAAGAAATGAGAGCTCAATTAAAATAAATGAATGGGGACTGAAAATTATCACAGTATTTGGCAACAGGAATTTTCAATGACTTCACTGCAGAATGACGGGGGAAGAAGCTTTGTCTCAGTCTATCTTTTATGTCTTCTCTACCAACCTAATATTGCTTTAAAAAAATTTTTTTTAAAATATTGCTTTAACCACAAACTCGATTCCTTGCTTTGAGATCTGCTACTATGTCAGCTGCCAAAAAGGAAAAATAAAGAAATCCATGAATCCACAATTCAGGCACCTGGCATGAGAATAACCTTTGGTATCTTTAATCCTTAGTCCTAATAACAGGACCATTATCTTTCCCTAAGATGAACCTCCACCTTTGTCTACAACACTGCTGAAAGCACGTACTATCATGCTCTGAGCTTACTCAGTTTTAGGGTTTAAAAGCTTGTCACTGAGCAAAGAGAAGTAAAATAAGATATTTTACTGATTGTATGTGGATCGTTAAATATATTGTTCACATATGCTTTTTGCTTATCCTGTCCCCACTTAGATAATAAGCTCCCCAAGGGCAGAACTTGCTCACCTAAGTACTAAATAACTATTATTGACAGAAATGAAATAAAGCAAATTACATAACAGAGAGCTGAAGGCTTCACCACCAGTAATTTCTGAGCAATCATGGAAAAGAGTAGAAATACCAAATAAAGACTAAACTTAGAATTGCTAGAAAAGTCTGCATATTAAGAAGAAAAATGAAATCACACCTAATGCCAGTGATCAAAATCTTAGGAAAACTGTGGGCACTAATAAAAATATTTTTGATATTCAATCTGATAATTAAAACAAATTTCCAATAAAAAAAGTCAAGCTCTCAAAAAACCAACTAAGCTGAAATTTACAAAATTCAGTTTTCAACGTACTTCTTTTGATTGCACATCAAATATTACTTTCCATCCAAATGGGGGGGAAAGACTGGTAGAAAGGCTAAATATGCAGCAAAGTCCTTTCACAAAATGGAGAAGTTTTTTAAAATGTTCTGAAGAGCTGGTAATGCTTCAAGGACTTAAGTTGGGAGGTAAAGGAAAATAATGAATTTGTAATGGGTAAACTAGTGAAAAGTGTTTACAGTCTACTGTAAAACATTTATTTATTTCTGTAACTTCTTACATTAATAACAATTAATATATTAATACACACACAGGTACGCCAAGAAATTATTTTTAAAAATAGTTTATTTTTTAAATCCAATTACAATATCTATACATGTTCATAACAGTAAATTTGGAAAACAGAAAAACAATAAAGAACATAAAAATCACCAATAATTCTACCACCTAAATAGAACCATTACTGGTATTTTGTGGGGCTTTCATCTTTCATTAAATGCACACATATAAATGTAAATGTTTTAAATGAATCTCAGAGTTTTGTACTTAAACAAATCTGTATCCTTTTTTTGAACTCTAACATTATATAACGAGCAATTTCCATTGATATTCAAAATAGTTTTTAATGCCTGTGTGATATTCCACCCTACAGACAACTTATAAGTTATTCTGAACATCCTTGTTCAAAAATCTTTGACATTTTCACTAATTATTTTTTTTTTTGAGAATGATTCCTAGACGCAGGATTACTAAACCAAAAGCAAAAACATTTTAAGGTTCCTGACATATGCTGCCTAACTGCTTTCCAAAAAGACCATACCACTTTCAGTTCTCTATACCATATTTAGAATGACCCACTAAAGAAAATTATTTCCTTGTGAATAATTTTTTCTTCACTTAAAATTTTAAATATATAAGTAAAACTAAAATACATCTAAAATGATAATGGTACCTTAATAAATTTGAGCAACTAAGAAGGATATGGTATGAGATATCTGCCTTAAAGACACAACCAAGCAAATTCAGCCTACGAAAAGGATCAAGAATATGTTATATAGCATTGCAGCTAGTATTATTTTTATATACAAACAAGAAGAAAGGTCAGAATAGTACTCTATATACTCCTATTCAAAGAAATTATGCTTAAGTGGTCAGTTCAAGGAATACTGTAAACAGAAATTCTAGGATGTCAGGAAAATTCAAAAGGCAGTATAGTACAATATACTCAGATCTAAAGAAAATGCAAAATAAAGTTGCTAACTGGATTAATTGTAAGACAGGAGACATTTTTACAAGGTACAGTACCTGATTAGAACTGGCTTTTTCAAGTCTGTCAATCATAATTTCAAATTGCAAAGGCTTAATTTCCATCTTTCTGTTAAGTCTATTTAATAAGGTTTCATCTTCTGAATCCATATCATAATCTGGTTGTTCGTTGTCTAGATTAAAGGCTAGAAAAGAAAAGAAAAATTCTTCAAACTGAGGAGAAATTATGGAGTTATATAGTGTTTATATCTGACCACAGAATACTTCTGAATCACAATGCATTGACCAGGGAGGAACTCATGAACTGACATCTAAAAACTGGTTCCAGAGTACACCTGAAACTAATGTAACATACACTTTGTGGCAACTATTGTAAAAAACAACAACAAAAAACAAAAAACAAATTAAATTGGTTTCAGAGACTAAAAACACAGTGGAAGAAAAAATAAAATCTTAATTCATATATGACTTAAAGTTTAACAGAACAAGAAAAACAATAACTAAGATTAATTTATTTTAAAAATAAAGGATCACAACAACTACTAAACAGGAAAAAATATTTGCAAACGACATATTTGATAAAGAGTTAGTATCCAAAAATATATGAAGAACTTAGCCAACTCAACACTAAAAAACCAAATAATCCAACTAAAAAACAGGCAGAAGACATGAACAGATATTTCTCGAAAGGCATACAGACAGCGAACAGACACATGAAAAGATGCTCAACATCACTCATCACCAGGCAAATGCAAATCAAAACTACAAAGATATCACTTTACACCTGTCAGAATAGCTAAAATAAAAAACTCAAGAAACAATAAGTGTTGGCGAGGATGTGGGAAAAAAGGAACCATCTTGCACTGTTGGTGGGAATGCAAACTGGTGCAGCCACTGTGGAAAACAGTATGGAGGGGAGGAGGAGCAAGATGGCAGAGGAGTAGGAGACCTAAATTTTGTCTGGTCCCAGGAATTCAGCTAGGTAGCTATCAAACCATTCTGAACACCTACAAACTCAACAGGAGATCAAAGAAAAGAATAGCAGCAATTCCCTGAACAGAAAAGTGACTACTTTCTGGAAGTTAGGACATGGAGAGAAGTGAATCCAAGGTGATATTCGGGAAGATAGACTGCAGAGGGAGGGAGCCTCTGTCAGATGGCTACCGGCAAGTGATAGAGCAACGGGGCACAAAATCGGAACTTTCAGAAGTCTGCTCCACTGAGGGACGTCACTCCAGTGGCTAAGCGGGTGGTGGAACACTCACTGGGACAGTGTGGTCTCAGGACCGTCAGGGTCACAGAAAGACTGGGGGTGCCTGAGTGCGGCAGAGATCCCAGGTATTGGAGCAGGGAAGCCAGATGGAGAGACAGAGCCAAGGAGTGGGCTCTCAGCTTAGGGTTGCCATAAACCGTGATCTGTGGCACAGTCGGGCCACTGCTCCTCCAGCAGGGACCCAACAAGCGGCAGATCCAGGGAGACTCCCCTTCCTCCCCTGGGAGGAGTGGCACGGGAGCGTACCGCAGGCATCTGCTGGGTTTGGAGACTCCACACAGGGTCGTGTGCCAGAGATAGAAAGGTCACAGGCCGGGTGAGCACGGACTGCAGCCAGAGACCGGGGAGACAGGAGTGAATGACTGCTTTTCTCTGGGGGCTCATTGAGGAGTGGGGCCCCGGGTCCTCAGCTCCTCTGGGGCAGAGACTGGGAGGCCGCCATTTTAAATCTCATCCTCCAAAGCTGGATGGAGAGCTTGCAGGGAACAAAAGCTCCCAAAAGCAAACCCCAGCAGATTACCTAGCCCAGCCCCTGGCAGGGGAGGGGCAATTCTGCCTTGGGCAAAGACCTTTGAGAATCACTGCAACAGGCCCCGCCCCCAGAAGATCAGCAAGAACAGCCAGCCAAGA